AAGCCGGCGGGATAAGTAAGTTTGCACTTGGCTTTCTCACCGACATGATACGTCGGGGTTTCTCACCGAGATATTTTGCTGTTTATTGATAGAAAGTGCCGTGTGGTGCCGGCAGAGTAGAATAGCACCACCCCCTCTCTTCCCGTGGGGGTCGTAAGAGGCGACCGAGGGATAAACCCGACCCAAACAGCCAGGGCAACCGTATGGTGGCGGTTAATCCACCACAAAAGCATTCCCAAGGAGGGTTGACGTCTGGTAGGCGGCCGGTCGTAAAATTAAGCCAAATCCTTTGCAACACGATTTTGTGTTAAACAGAACGTGTTGCGCCGACCCCAAGTAATTGGGATAAGGGCAAGAAGATGATGATGATAGAAAGAGTGCTAAACTGTGCGGATAAGGGGCGCCACATACCGCCTTCGTATTCGTGACATGCACGTCATCACGCGCGAAGCTAAGCCGTTGTATCGTACGGGACAGAGTGAGACACCGCACACCACGCTACGCGCTAGACTAAGCTCCCATTGACAAAGTCTTACCTCATAAGTCTATCGATTGAAAGTATGATATAACGATAGATCATGTTTAGGAGGTCATAACATTGTATGGGTGGCCATCCGAAATCCTGGCAGGTTTTTTTTATCCGACTTAAAAAACTTATTTTATTTCCAAAATTTACATCACATCGCTTTATCGTTCGAAACGTATACCCGTCTAAAGAGACACCTTTGGCGATGAGAACCCGCTAGAGTTGCCATCTCCAACACCGGCAGTTTCCGTGGTCGCAGGTAGTATGCGGCCTCTCATACGATCTCATACATTACAGTGTCTTCTCTCTACGTGTGCGTGCACGTTTCGCATACGGAGGTGGTGTGTGGCGAGATTAGACGTCTCATAGAGGCGAATAGAAAAATAATCATGTTGCGTCAAGCCCAACTAATCATAAGTATAAGAATGTAATTTTGTGCTCTTTTGTTCCAGGTAAGGCGGCGTTAAAAAGACTACGAATGCGTTTTTAAAAGATAAGAAGATTTGATTGTAAGTTCCTGGTCATACTTCTTCTTTTCGTGTGGGACTTTGATTCGAATAAGGACCCTACTAGTAATTTACCCTTTAATTTGTAAGCATTATTATCACTTTCATCTATACATATTGTTCGAGATGCCTTTTTGACTTGGCTTCTTATAGTCCAAATATGTTACTATGCGGAAGACGTGCCTCTATCTTTCATTTTGTATTTTCGTGATGTGAACGAACATTGCCACGACTGTAACCTTTCCAAAATAATCTTCGTAGCAGCTACTACGACACGTAGCCGCGTAGCGATGACGTAGCACTCGCGTAGCCGAATGGCTCGTAGCCAGAATATTGTTATTGACAAAGTTTTAGTGTAGCTTAATACCGGTTTTAGGTTTAAAGTTTCGATAAATAATAGTTATGTTAGTTTTTTAACTTTTGTATTCGAATAACAGTTATAATTCCGCATAGTAAAGTTTCTATAGAATTAATTAATGGGCGCATTTTTCACGTGATTGGATTAAGTTTATTTTATTAGTGATCAGTTGAAATGTGTTTTATCTTATAAGCCCGCGTGTCTACCGGAAACAAATAAGGCGAATTTGGTTAGAATTATTCACGTCACGTATGTTCCTGGGCGGTGTAAGTGGGCCCACGAGCTGAATTTTTATTTATGTTCCAAATGGAAATAATATTTGAATAGAAATAGGTTTTGCCGTGTGGTGCCGGCTTAGAATAGCATCACCCCATTTCTATCGTGGGAGTCGTAAAAGATGACTAAGGAATGGATCCAGGGAATGGGCAGCAGCGTCGTCTGTGAATATCTACAACTCTTTGCACTGCGCTCGCCAATCCGCCTGCCAAGACGTGGTGAGTATGGCAATACCCCCCCAATTGGGGGAAGCCCATCTCCAGTAGTATTCTATTGTGACTGTAGTATTAGTGTTAGATATATGTAGGTTTGATCAAATATAAAACGTGCTTGCAGTAGATAAAACCTAACGGCTGATCTGATCAAATTGCAAATTTCGTTACTTATCATTTAAGAGTCTTGTTAACTCATTTATAGTCACTGTACAACGTGATGCCAGCTTAAAATAACATGAAACTGTTTCTACTTGGGTGCTGCAAAAAGGTGACTGAAGGTTGAAATCAGGGGATAGGGGCGTAGCGTTCCATCTAGATACTAAATCCTACGCTGCGCTCGCCAACCCGCCTCTGTCCAAGAGTGGACTGTTGTGGCTGTTGTTTCTGTATTCCAAATCGTCGTCAGTTTTGTATAAAAATTATCGATAAGTATACGAAAAACGAATATAACTTCTAGGTATATTTTTCATACCCTTCTAATGTTTTCGCAAGACTCCAACAAAGGTTGAGACTAACCCTCATCTCGGAAGATTTATTCAGAAGCGTTCGAGATAAAAGAGTTTTTAGCAAGTCAACAGGTCAAACAAGTACATAATAAATCATCCATTACAAATTACATTCAAGTGGTTTTTGGGGTTCCCTTCGTTAACAAAAAAAACGGAATCCGTATTGGATCAATCATCATGTTGTTCGTCTGTCTGTCTGCCAGTAAGACCCTTTATCTCGGGAGTGCGTTGAGATATTAAATTAAAAATGAGATTCAATCTACTTCTTCTTATTCTTCGAGTGGGACACTAAGTCATCCAACGACCCGATGAACCCTGGTGTCAGAGTTTTTCAACCGCCTACTGCAAGTAGCAGGCCTCCGACATGGTTGTGTAACGACCGGATTAATACGGAACCCTTTGTGGGCATGTCCGACTCGCGCTTGTCCGGTGTTTTTATTTGTTAATGGATTTTACTTCAGTCTCAGCCAGATAAGCTCCAATTAGTGATGATTAATTTTTAAGAGGATTTTCGTATAATATTTGCTCATTACAATTGTACAAAATATAAGTAGATCGTTATGAAAATGAAATTAAGTAATAATTAATTTGCTATAAATGTACAGATGTTACATTTATTTTAATACACTTTGTCGGCATCAACGTTGGCATGGAATCATAGAGCAGAAAGAACGACTTGACCTTAGTAACAGATAATTTTAGCACAAGTAATTTGTGATTTTAGTACAAATATCATTAAAATTAAAACTACCAATAAAATCCAGATAAGTTACTGCATTTTCTACTAATTCAGTGTTCACGGAAACCCAAACAATAGCATTTGAGTGGACACTAAAGTCTCGTATTCAAAGCTTAATATCGCAAGTATGTAGTTTATTCAGACTTTGGTAATAAAGTTTAATTCGTCATGTAGTATCGATATTGCAATACGAATATGAGAGCCCGTAACCATTGTCCTTTGAATATGAATTATTGTTGGCCTTTATCTGGATCCGGTCGGCCCCAAAGACCCGTTTGACGACCACTGTTATTAAAGAGGTTCTCACATACGCTTTGGATAGTTTTCGGGCCTGATCCGATTTTTTGACGAAAAATGCACATAAGTAATCGAAAACAATGGCATGGTACACGCAATACTATTCGGGTTAGTGAGGAAGCTCGTGAACTAAAACTATAAGACATTTTAACGGGGTTTTACTCACGGTGGGGTTATTTCGAGCACCCAATATTTTAGTGATGTTACAATCGCTATGATCACGGCGAACATTAACATCGCTGAAATATTGGGTACTCGAAATAACCCTACCGTGAGTAAAAACACGTTAAAATGTCTTACAAGTAGTTTTAGTGATAATAACCACGGAAAGCTTGAAATCAAGAGTTCCAGTATTTTCAGATCGAGTCAGAAAGCTGAAAATCGGCATGAAGGCTTTCTTGACCTATTGATCAAAACTGGAGGTGCAGGTAGTGCGAAGTTGGCACATTTTACCGCCCTGTCCCTTTCCTTTTTTCTTTTCAAAGTGCTACTTGTGAAAAAATTAACCTAGAGCCCTCAAAACACAGAATTATGAAATGCGGGTAAACTAGTTTTATCAACCTGTGGTTGTCATTCGTTGGTGACTTTCATGAACCTGTGGCTATCATTTGTTGGTATCATTTTCTGGTGTCTTGTCATGAACCGCAATTTCTTCTGGCATGTGTGAGATCCACTGGCCTCGCACGTAAATCAAGCTATACGCCAGTATCGGTCCGGACACGTTTCTCGTAAATCTGCCGTGACTGAGAGGCCCGCTGCGTTTTTTATTATTTTTTATCGGGAAAGCCGTTCGATTATGAAACGGTGATACGTTTCGGAAAGTGACTTTTGAAACGGTTCAGCGAGCGTTAAACGTTTTTCTCTCAACCTTACACTGCATAAATCAAAGCGGTTTATTAAACTTACATAATTCTACTTACGGGACTAGTTTCTACTTTTCCATATAAAAGTAACTGTGATATTATTCGACCTCAAAGTATAGCCTCGTGCGCCTTAGTATTTTATATTTATTTAAATTTTATACAGTCGCTTTTCTCAGCAAATCCAAGAAGGTAATTTCAATTTCGAGAACTCAAATAAATTACTTCGCCAACCCTTTTGCCGTAAATAATTTCCAACAAACTTTTTCCGTGAGTTTGATTCTTTGTCGAGATTAGGGGGAGTTTTTTAACATCCGCCCGAAGGCCGGAAAATTACCGGCGATTTTGCTGAATTCCCTGAAGGGGGCAACCCCCGCCGCTTTGTTGGATAATTCCGCTTAATGAATCAAGTTGATTATGATTTTTATTAGATAGCTCAGAGGTTGGAGAAAATACAAAATATTTTCCTCTGAAAATTTAATGTTCAAACGGTTTATAGTTTCTTTTCAGAATTTATTTCGTCTAAGCTAGTAGACCTCAAAAGATCTTTAAAAAGGAAACAGCTGGGTTGCTCTTTCTTCTGACTTATAAACTAAACAGTAACTCGTACAGTGTACTTCTTCTTCTCAATTCAATGGAGATCTCGTCATACTCAAAATGTACTTATAAGACTTTTTGCTGTTTGAATGATTTAGCAATATCAGTATTTAGTATGGTGCATCGATATAGCTCAGTGGCAAAGCGGTGGGGCATTTACCCATGCGGCCCGGGTTCGATCCCCGGTCGATGCATGACATTTTTTCTCTTTCTTATTTTCATTTGTGAGAATAATACTGCACTGTGGGTGCATTAAAATCCCAATAGAATATCAGTAAAGATAAAAAGTTGGAAATAGTCAAATGGTGTGAATTGTGATGTCAATCGCGGTTGTTGGTTGAGGGCCCTCCACTCGCCGCAAAATGACTACACTACTCGACTGTAGTGGCTTTTTGCGACCACTACGTAGATTTTCGGTGCGACAATATTTTGTTTTACAGCTGAATTGAAACGGTAGTTATATTTAAAAGGGTCGTAAAGATATATGTTTAGCAAACAAAGTTTTTAGTACCGACAACCAAGACTTTCGGTGTGCATTAGTACAGCTTAGAAGCTAAATAAAAAACGTCTTCTTCGAATTTAAGAGTCAAACTCTTGTCGGTGGAGTAATTTCCAATCTTCCATCCTCTCTAGCTAGTGCCTTGACTTGGTATGACATTTTCCTTTGTCTGGTTAAAGTAAGTGCGTCTAGGTCTACTTCTGCCTTTCTTACCTTCTACTTTCTTTCTTTATGAAGTTGTCGTGCCCTAGCAAGTGGCCTATCATATTTCCTCTTTTGTTTTCTATGGTCTTCAAAAGACAACGTTCCTCCTCAACTAGCGCCAACATTTCTACGTTTTCAAATCAAAAGATATTTTCATAATATTACTATTTTGCTTCTTATGAACGAGAAATAGAACCTTAATACAAGCCCATGAACAACATTACTTGCGCTAATATATCATGCTCTCGCATCACGCACACTTGCCAAAAGCCCAATTATACTAAGTACTGAGATAGTACATTATCCAACAGCGATGTTGCCAAGTCGACAACTGGGCTGGGACACCGACCAAATAGCCGACTCGATGGCACACTGAATGTAAATACTTTATAGTCATGCATTAGATCTATATTCCTGGTGTTAGTTCGTGTGTATGGTCAGACAGTGCCGTCAGTGATGACAAGATCACTGAGCAATCAGCACCCACGTCCGGCGTAGGTACCTCTACTAGTTGACAGGTTTGTTTAATTAATTAGTGACTGGGCATTAGTTTAAAACTATACCTGTAGATATTATTATTATAATCATACTACCATATACATATTAAAACACGCCATCGGCGTAACAACAGTAGCGGTAGAGGTTTCTTTAATGCTTATAGCGAAAGCCGAAGGTTCAAACCCTGCCCCGGTGCAGTCCTGTAAGTTCTCTTTTCTTCGATATATTGTCACATTAGGCGTCTGGTAGGCTATGTAGTCTTTCGTTGCCGGGTTGCCAGCCGTGCGCGTTAATGCCCCGCCCATTACAAGTGATTGTGCACATCTGGTTGATTGCCAGAGTTGCCAGACTTTAAACGCCCAATTTGTCCGCCGGATCGAGTTTTTATCCGGGTTTCGCGTTGGGCTCGCTTGACCGGATTTTTCGACACAGCAGTCATTTATTTTCAGGATGATACGGTTAATTTTTGGAAACAACGAAAATATACCTCTTGAATTGATATTGTTAGAGTTTTTTTTTAATGTATGCGATGTTGATAATATTCGTTTGCTCTTTCTAGTCTGCGTCAAATAAACCCGAGACAGAGATCACTCGAAAATCGAGTGAGCTTAAGTCATCATCTTCCTGCCCTTATCCCAATTACTTGAGGTCGGCGCAACACGTTACACAAAATCGTGTTGCAAAAGGATTTGGCTGAATTTTACGACTGGCCGCCTACCAGACCGCCTACCGCCTACCTTGTATAATTTGCTTACAATAAAAATGCATACTATGCACAGCAAGTATCGCCTATGATCCACAACCTCTTCTAGGCATAGTCATACGTATTACTGGGACACATCATAGTTACAATATACCAAGGAGCATTTTAACTCGACCAACTTTCCGCCTGAAACTACCTACATCGGTAGGGATGTCAAAAAATTCGTTTCGCGAACCCGCTAATTTCCACTTGGGTAACAAAATACTAAGTTACTCTAGGAAAACAATGACTAAAAATATTATTTGATGCATTGATTAAGTTTTTGTATATTTATCTTCCTGATTCATCGATACTCAAACAAAAACACGCGGCGGCAGTCCGGTTCGCTTTGATACGAACGCCACGAGAATCTATGTAGTAGTGCGTGTACGTAAAGGTCGGCTGGGCTTGTGCCTGTGTGAGTGCACAAACTTGGCGTTAGTATGGAAATAAACTACTGCTCCTTTGTATATTGTGTCATAGTCAACAAGTGAGCAGCTCGCCTCAAGCCGTATTCAAAGTCCCGTTCAGTCGCAGCGATCTCAGCTGATCCCGTGAATGCGGCAGTTTGCATATCGCTGCAGATCTGCTAGCATAAACATGAGCCGGACCGGACACCAGCAAGAGAAGCTTTTACACGTGTTTTCACAGGGAATAAGGCACCGCTGCTTGAAAGATTGAGTTACCTTTTTCTATTTTTCTGCGTGATTTTCTAGGTTTGTGAAAAAAAAACATATTTGACAGGTTAAACGGCTTGTTTTCAAATTTAATATTCTCATCACGCCTATATCTCTTACGGGGTAGGCAGAGCCTAACGGCTGTAAAAAAACGGCCACTTATAACACGTCTGACAAAAGCCATAATTTTGTAGCTTTATTTGTGGCTCTTGGATTTCTATAAGCACAAGATATTTTTAATCCTAAACATTACTCAGATTTACCAGCGAAGACTTGAAATACAAAATGCGATTCAATTTACTTGTTTTAATTGAAGTTTGTATCGAAAAGTTCCCTCATAAATAAATTACCATTAGAAGCAGAAATACTTTATCAATTTCGCACTCGAAATGTACTAAGTATTCGATCCAGGTTATCGTTTGAGACGTTCTTCGAAATGCTGATTTATTTTTAAACACTCAGCTTATTCTAAAAGTATTTCTCGAGAATTTCAAATAAGTTAATGCTAAGTACGAATTTATTGAGAACTTGAGTTTCCCTTGAAACATTCATCAAGTTTGAGTAAGTAATGTTTATTGGTATTTCAGTTTAAATCTATTTGCCCCTTAATAGTCTGGAGCAGTTTGTAAGTGAATAATTAATGGCTGAAGATCCGAGTCGCGGAAAATCTGACTCACTAAATACCTGAAAGATCTGGGAATCTACCAGGATTGCTTTGAGGTATTTAGTCTTTCGGAAAGTCGAGATTTCAGGTCGTTGCATTTGATAATATTATTTCTGTTTTCTATACTTAGTAAGCGATTACTCCATCGATAAGACCTAAGCTCTTAAATATTAGAAGAGATATACAGGGTGAACTTTTACTAGTGACCGATAGCGAAAACTCTGAACCGGTTGCTAATAAGGGACAACAAAACATAGATCGCAATATGAAGAAAAAATTTACCTCACATACTAACTGAAATCAGCTGATTGACAATTTTGTATGGGAGGTCCAATTTATTTTCATATTTTGACCTATGTTTCTTGGGGAAAGTTGTTCCTTATCACCAGCCGGTTCTGAGTTTTCGTTATCGGTCACTAGTAAAATTTTACCCTATATAACTTCCATCTATAAGCAAAGAGTTTGCTAGATCCGGTTTAATCTAGATGGATGCGAGCGCCGTAGGGCGTTTGTTTATTTACGGCCATTATCATGCCGGTATCTGTGAGTTAAATTTTCCACTGGCAGCGATAAAGAACGGAATATGCCAGCGGCTTTTTCGGAAAACAGTAAAAACCAGTTTCTATTGTGTGGTACCAGCTTAGAATAGCATCACCCCATATCTTTTACGTAGGTGTCGTAAAAAGCGACTAAGGGATTTGAGAGTTGATGTGTAGGTATTACAATTTTAGGCGACAGGCTTACAGGCTGACACTATCACTATGATGATACACAGTCTTCTGAATTACTCTCAAACTGTAAGACGTGGTGTAAATGCTCGTTTTTAAACCGTTTACGCTTTACCTACGCCTCTAGTATAGGCGTGATATACAGGGTTATTTTTTAGTCAGTGCGCAAACTTTGCAGGATGTTTCTACTCGTGATTCTGAACAACTTTCACTATGGGGCCACCTGCGAAATCTACAAACAATTTTAGGTTGTTCCATACATTTTTGCCGAGTAGGTTTGAATTTTTCTATGGAACATCCAAATTTTTTTTGCGAATTCACAGGTGGTCCCATAATAAAAGTTGTTCAGAATCACGAGTAGCAACACCCTGCAAAGTTTGCGCACTGACTAAAAAATAACCCAGTATACTTCTCATAAAAAAACGAGACACTTTCGATTTCATACTTAAACTATATATGCATTCTATGGAATATAGAACTTTGTCTTTATGGATTTAGAAACCTCGTAATACCAACTTTTCTCAGATAATAATAAATATGTTTATATTAGCATTATCTCAGATAATCCGTACCTAACGCAAACTTACTAAGTATCTCGATTTTTCTGATGAGAAGTATGCATGTTTATTATCATTGTTTATTACGACTATTATCATCCTCGCGCTTGCTAACGCCTAACAACTGAGCCACAGATAGGTAGCTTAGTTTGAGGAAACATGATTACGCGCCATTAATCTGACTTAGCTCCCATTCTTCATACAGATTTAATTTAATATTCGCCATTTTCCTTTGTCCTAAACAAAGTTAAATATTAACTTATTCATCTCATAATGTGTTTCGGAAATTTCCAGCTTTTAGTCCGAGTGACGACTGGTCTCATCCATATCTCACAAAAGAATAGAATAATTTAGCTATGTACGGGTAGAGGAGCTCGAGTACTTCGGATTGGTCGTGGTCTGCCGCGGCGCAGCTTGGCACGTTTGGCGGAGTAGCTAAAAGCTTGCCCTCTGAAAAAAGTTAAAAATATCTCATCGAAGAATAGAGTGAGACATGGCTGTAGCGATAGGAGCAGTTTAGTAAAGCTTATAAATCTTGGTCTGCCGGCTGCTATCTTGGCACGTTTGGCGGAGTAGCTAAAAGTATGCCCTCTTAAAAAAGTAAAAAATATCTCATCGAAGAATA